TGGTTTGGACCTGTGACTCTGGAGACCAGGGTTTGATTACTAGCTTGGCCATGGAAACCCTTGGGCGAGTCACACTCTCTCAGGCTCCTCAGGGGAAGGCCATGGCCAAAACCTCATCTACCAAGAAAACCCCATGATAGATTCTGCCTTAGAGTTGTCACATGTCAGAAACAACTTGAAACAACACAACAACACACAAAATGACAAAGGACTCCTGTAAGGTGGTTGGAGTGTTGTAGTGTGACTCTGAGGACCAGGGTTCAGTTCCTAGTTTGGCCATGGAAACCCACTGGGTGACCCTTAGGTAAGAAGTCACACTCTCTCAGCCTCCTCAGGGGAAGGTCATGGCCAAAATCCCCTCCGAAGAAACCCACTGGGTGACCCTTGGGCAAGAAGTCACACTCTCTCAGCCTCCTCTGGGGCATGACAGGTATTGATAAGCAACAAGAACCAGAAGAAGGACTATCCTGCCCCTCCTTACCCGGCCAGCTCCAGGAGCAAACCCTCGAGGCTGAAGCCTCGGGCGGACTTGGCGGCCAGGAGGGCCAGGCCTTGCGGGAGCTTGAGCACTAGGCAGGCCAGGAGGGTGCTCCAGTTGGCCACCTCCAGGCCCAGGCCCATGGCGGCCCACAGAAGAAAGAGGAACAAGAAGAAGAGGAAGAAGGGAAAGACGAGGAGGAGGAGGAGGCGGATGCTGCTTTTTTTCCCCCTGAGAGCGAAAGGGAGGCCCTCCCTCCCGCTCCAGAAACCGCCCTGTGGGAGGAACAAAATGGCGGCCGCTGCCTCCACCTCAGGCGCGGTTGCGGTGGATCGTTATTATGAGGATGAGGAGGATGAGAGTGGTTTGAGTGTTGGGCTACGACTCTGGAGACCTGGGTTTGATTCCTCACTCGGCCATGGAGACTGACCCTTGGCCAAGCCACACTCTCTCAGCCTCCTCAGGGGAAGGCAATGGCAAACCACCACTCCTCTGAGAAGAAAACCCCCTCCCCTGATAGGGTCTCCCTCAGTCGCAAAGGACTTGGCATTATTTGGGCAGGGTGACCAGGCATGTCCTCCTTTTTCCCAGGACCTGCCCTCCATTTTCAGCCTTCTGCCCAGGCCCCAGGAGGGATTCCAAATGTCCTCCATTTTGGGCATGGGTAATTAAGAAGCACCAATTGGTTATTTCCAGGAGTGTTTTGAGCTTCCATTGGGTCATGTCCTCCATTCTTCTTGAATATCCATTTTTAGTATAGTTAAGAAGTCTGAATTTATATTTCTAGGAGTGTTTTTTAGCTTTTATTTGGTCATAGCCTCCCTTCTTTTGAATGCCCTCCATTTCCCAGCATGGCTAAAAAGCATGAATTGATATTTCTAGAGGAGTGGGGGTTTTTTAGCTTTTATTTGGTCCTGTCCTCCATTTTCCTTGAATGTCTTTCATTCTCAGCATAGCTAAAAAGCATGAATTGATATTATATGAGTGTTTTTTAGCTTTTTATTTGGCCCTGTCCTCCATTTTTCTTGAATGCCCTCCATTTTCCAGTATGGCTAAAAAGCATAGACTGATATTTCTAGGCATGTTTTTTAGCTTTTATTTGAAAATATCCTCCATTTTCCAGCATTTCTAAAAGCATGGTTTGATATTTCTAGGAGTGTTTTTAGCTTTTATTTGGTCATGGCCTCCCTTCTTTTGAATGCCCTCCATTTTCCAGCAGGGCTAAGAAGCATGAATTGATATTTCTAGGAGTGTTATGAACTTTTATTTGGTCATGTATTCCGTTTTTCTCGAATATCCATTTTCAGCATGGCTAAGAAGCATGAACTGATATTTATATGAGCACTTTTTGGTTTTTATTTGGTCATGTCCTCTGTTTTTCTTGAATGCCCTCCATGTTCAGCATAGCTAAGAAGCATGAATTGATATTCCAGTGAGTGTGTTTAATTTTTATTTGGTCATGTCTCACATTTTTCTTGAATGACCTACATTTTTCTGGAGTCTTGTCCTCCTTGGTGGTGAGGACATCTAGTTACCCTGTTGAAGGCACACAACAATAATGGCAACAACAACAAATTCTCTTCCCTCTGGCCTTTTCCCTTTTTGAGGGGAACTTGTTAACATTTACCACCATTACTCCTTTTCCCCTCCTCTACTGGCACAGAAGACACACAGAACTGGAACACCTACTAAGGAAGGTCAATGATGAAAGTGCAAAGGCGGGATTAATGTTGAACATAAAGAAAACAAAAATAATGACCACAGAAGAAATACATAAATTCAATCTAGACAACGAGGAAATTGAAATAGTCAAAGAATTCCCATACCTAGGATCAAACACTGACCAGAATGGAGACTGCAGTCAAGAAATAAGAAGGAGACTAGGAATGGATAGGGGAGCAATGAAAGAATTAGACAAGATCCTAAAGATTAAAGATATACAAATGAGTACAAAAGTTAAAATCATCCAGTCCATTCTATTCCCCATCACCATGCATGGATGCGAGAGCCAGACTGTGAAGAAAGTGAATTTAAAGAAAATCAATTGATTTGATCTGTGGTGCTAGAGAAGAGGGCTGACGATACCACAAACAGCCAAACAGACAAACAAATGGGTCTTTAAATACATCAACCCTGAAATCTCCCTAGAAGTTGTACTTAGGCCACATCATGAGCAGGCCTGACTCATTGGTAAAGCAATGCTAGGAAAGGTGGAGGGATGCAGAAATGGAGGAAGACTGCATGCTAGATGGCTGGACTCGAGGTCACGTGTCTGTATTTACAGGAACTGAGCAATGGGGGTCTTGGAGATGTCTCATCCACAGGATCGCCATGAGTCAGGGTTGATTCAAGGGCAGTTAACAACAAAAAACACCCCTGCTCTAGGCTTTAACCATGGAATGTGCTCATATTTTTTTCTTGAGTGCCATGAAGTCATTTATGGCAACCCTAAGGGATTTTCTTGGCGAGATTTGTTCAGAGGAGGGTTTCCATTGCCTCAAGAGTAAGAGTGTGTGACTTGCCTAAAGTCACCCAATGGGTTTCCATGGCCAAATGGGGATTCGAACCCTGGTCTTCAAAGTTGTAGTCCAACACTCAAACCACTATACCATGCAGGCCCTTCTGTACATTAATTAAAACCCCATTATGTTCAGGGTGGGTTTTAAAAAACAAACCAACAAACTGATTACAAGCAGAAATTAAACTAGTGATACTGACCTACCTATTGTTTATGCCACTCAAAAGTTCTTCTAATTCTGGGATAGGGGCAGGGAGGAGACATTCACTTAGTATTGTCCTACACAAGCTGCAGCACATTAATTGAGGGTGCATCTACACTGTAGAATTAATGCAGTTTGAAACCACTTAAAGTGCTGTAGCTTAGGGGAACAGAAAAGCTCAATAAGAGTTGCTAACCTTTTGGTTAGTTCCTGCCTTTTACAGCAGCTTGATATGTAGAAAATAGCAGGTGACATTTTATATACTGTGAGACTCTTCCATCTGCCCAGCTATTTAAAGCTGCTGTTCTAAACTGCTATTTATTTTTCTCCAGTCAGCTGGAAACATAGAATACAATCCAAGAACAATACATTCCTCTTTGCCAGTAATGTTTCATAATCCTTTCCTAGTGGTTAATTTCCCCCCTCTAAAGTGCTGGGGCCAGTGATGTCAGGAGACATTAGGACAGAAATCTGGGGCCTCTTATCTATCTATCTATCTATCTATCTATCTATCTATCTATCTATCTATCTAATGAGATTTATATCCCACCTTTTCCCCCCAAATAGGATTCAAGATGACTCCTCTTTCAGTGGAATACTCATAAAAAAGAGCAGATTGGCTTCTCACATTTTGAAGTAAGTGAAATAATACACATTCTTATTGAAAGTGTCCACTGCTTCATGTAAAACCATGGATTTGGAGCTTAAAATTATAGTTGGAGGCTAGTGTGTGTCTAGAAACCACGTTATCTATTCTAGACATCTTTCCCCTAATGCCATCTTCTTGAGGACCAGAAAATCTGGGGCTACTGTAGGCTTTTGGCACCCATTTCTGCACATGATCAGAGACTCATCTAAAACACACACATGGTAGAACAAGAAATCAAAATGGGCTATATACTGTAGTTTACATAATCAGACAATCATGATGAGGCCTTTTTTTTTTTTTTACAGGTTTATCCATCTCAGTTGCCCAGTGGCGTTATGGATTGCTTTATACTTAAGTTCTTTAACTTGTGTTTAACCACTACTACTTAAAACACATTAATCACTACACCGGATTACACCTAATGTTATATGTAATTTAAAAGTGAAAGGAGCCAAAGCTTTTTACACCCTTTAGTTTTGCTTTGCAGTTGCTGACATAGAAACTGTCTACTGCAGTCCATTGCAGCTAAAAACAATATCACTTTGAACTTCAAGATCTTGCTCCAATGTAGACAGTTTTTTTCAATTGTAAGCTTTATACTGCCAG